GTCGGGGGAGCACTTTGTGGTGCAATATAATGCCCGTGCCACATGATTTGTTAGATCATCTCGAGAAGCCAGAGGAGCTCTCGGAATGACGACAGTGGCGGAATAACTCCGTGCGGATCGTCATCCCTTTCTCGCCGGCCAGGCCCCCCTGCCAAAGCACGGCACCCACGTTCCCGAAGTCCGTGGCGATCTCCTCCCCACGTAGTCCCGTCAGTCAAGGGCAAAACAAACGCCCGTATTTTGGTTTACGAGGCGCTGTGCGCTGAAACTCCTGTGAGTTGACAGGGTAATCCCTGCGTGATGTGCCGCGTCCTGGCGGCTCCAGGCTCTGGGGGTTCCCAGGAGGTTTACAGACCACGCACTTGTAGCCCAGGGTAGGGTCGTTTTTTCATCCCTCAAGTCAGGCGCATCGGATTCTGAGATATCGCACGCACATGGCCCACAGCTCTGGGAGCGGCCGTGCCTGCTGCTGCCGACGTCGTAGATCTCGGCGGTCGTCGCACACGGCGGGACGCCTGCGGCGGCGGTCGGCGCGGCCGATCCCTCTCTCGCGGCGAGCGCGGGCCCCGCTCGGTGAGAGAGCACCTCGCTGCCCGTGACAAGAGTGCCTTGGCAGTGTCAGCAGCCGCGGACGTTTGGCGCCTTGCGCTTGTGATTGGCTGGCCTCCTCCTCGGGCGGCGTGGGGGAGGAAGGCGGGAGGTCGTACGTAGGCCGACAGATAGAGGGAAGGCGGGGAGGCGGAGTAGGAGGAAGTAGAGGAGGTAGGCCCGCGCCAGAGGAGGGCAGGTAAAGAAAATGAGGAAGGGGAGGTGGAGGAGGAAGGATGGGGGAGGAGGAGAGACGGAGGAGGACGAGTGGGAGGAGGAAGAGAGGGAGGAGGGCAAGGACGAGGAGGGTTTTGAGCACGCAGAGTAGACGAGGCCGAGGCCCGTTTCCGCTTCCGCCCGCGGCCTGGAAGTGCGCGCGCGCCCGCGGGGGCGAACAGGACGAATTTGGGCGCATGTGAGCCGCGCGCCGCGCGCGCCTGCGCGCGCTCGCCAGCGGCCGTCGGCTGATGGCCGACAGGGCGCGCCGCCCAGCCTGCTTCTTGCTCTTTTCCAGCCCAGGCCTTCTCCGTGGGCGGAGCCGTCCGATCGCTGCTGCCCCAAAGCTCTGCCCCGCTCTCGTGCTTCCCCTCCTCATCACTCCTCCTCCTCCTCCTCGTAACCCTCCTACCCCTCTCGTTCCTGATCCTCCATCACATCTCATCATCATATATCAATCATCAATCATCAATCATCAATCATCATCATCATCATCATCATCATCATCATCATCATCATCATCATCATCATCATCATCATCATCATCATCATCATCATCAGCATCATCATCATCATCATCATCATCATCATCATCATCATCATCATCATCATCATCATCATCATCATCATCCTATCTCCTCCTCCTCCTCCTCCTCCTCAGATCTCCCTATCTCCTCCTACTCCTCCTCCCTCCTTCCCTCCTCCTTCTCCTCCTCTTCCTGATCCTCCCTCCTGCACCTTTAACCACATCCTCCACCTCCACCTCATCACCCTCCTCCCCAACCTGTATGACTGCCTCCTCCTCCTCCTCCTCCTCCTCCTCCTCCTCTACCCTTCCCTCCTCTCTTTCCTTTTTTCCACTCCTCCTCCCTGTCCCCTACTCCTTCGACACTCCCTTCCTATATCCCTCCTTTCCTCACCTCCTCCTCCTCCTCTCCTCCTCCTCCTCCTCCTCCCTCGTCCTCTCCTCCTCCACCTCCACATTCATCATCTCATCATCCTCTCCTCCTTTTCTCTCTCCTCCTCCTCTTCCTCTTCTACCTCCTACCTAACTGTCCCTCCACTCCTCCTTCCCTACTCCTCCTCCTCCTCCTCTCCTCCTCCTCCTCCTCCTCCTCCTCCTCCTCCTCCTCCTCCTCCTCCTCCTCCTCCTCCTCAAATGATTCCTGTGCTCCGGCACGTCCTGGCCATCCCGATGGGCACTGGCAGGGCCAAACCGCGCTATCGGGTACCCGCCCAGCTGCTTGGCTTCCCCCTCGTGCTCCTTCTCCTCCCTCTCGCCCTCCCTCCTCGTCTGCCTCCTCTTCTCGCCGCCTGACGCTCCTCCTGAAGGGGGACGGGCAACAGAAGCAAAGCGGGGGGGGGGGGCGCGGCATGCCATGGAATGCCTCTCGGCTCCAGCCCTTCCTCGACTGCGCCTCCGAGGTTTAAAACGTTGCGTATCATCCCAAGCCCTCCCTCCTCCCTCCCTCCTTTCCTGCTCCCTCTTGCCTCCTCCAAGGCTCCTCCCACTCTATTACACCACATCGCCTCCCTTCACCCTTTTTCCTCCGCTCCATCCCCCCCTTCCCCCTCCCTCTGTCCTTCTTCTTCTTCTTATTATTATTATCATCATTATTTTTATTATCATTATTATTATTACTATTATTATCATTCGTATTATTATTATTATTAGTATTATTATTATTATGATTATTAGTATTATTGTTATTATTATTATTATTATTAGTATTAGTATTATTATTAGTAGTATTATTATTCTTATTATTATTATTATGATTATTATTATTAGTATTAGTATTATTAATAGTAGTAGCATCATTATTATTATTATTCTCCTTCTCCTTCTCCTCCTCCTCCTCCTCCTCCTCCTGACAACTCATTATTCTCCTCTCGGGGTGGGGGAGCAACAACTGCATACGCATAACCTCTCTGAGCTCCGCGCGGAGGTCCGAAAGTTTGTGTGTATGACTCTGGCCACTGTTAAATATCTACATCTCTACTACCCCTTCTCTTCCCTTCCCCCTCCCTCCCGCCCCCCCCCCCTCCGCCCCTCATCCGACCCCCTCCATTTCCCCTTCCTCACCTGGCACATCTCCTTTCTCTCCTACTGGTTCCACTCCTTTTCCCCTCCTTTTCCCTTTTCCACCTCCCTTTTCCTCCTCCTCCTCCTCCTCCTCCTCCTCCTCCTGGTCCTCCTCCCTTTACCTCCTCCCTGTTCCCGCCCGATTCGATCGACACGCTAACCGCGTCCCGGTCCCCAGGCGTCAGCGCCCCGAG